ATAGAAAATGCCGATCCATTTTTGAGATGATAATATAAAATGTAATAAATAAATTAATAAAATTTTTTTTTTTTTTTTTTTTTTTCTTTTTCTTTTTTCTTTTTTAACACCTATGGAGAAATTTAACAGAAAAATACTTCTAGAACTAGTAAAAATTAAGTAAATAGTTAATTATTTTTAATAAAAATACAAGAGAGTAAAACATTAGTTATACAGACACAACTGGTCTGACTAGCAGCTCAGGGCGGCAAATGTCATGTGAGACATGCAGAATTATTATTGCATGTGTTATGAAAAATTTAATTTACAACAGTATCATCCTGTTTAGTTTCTATTACAGTCAATGAATCCAACAGAAAAATGAAAGAAAAAGGGCAAACATGGCACTGCAAACCAATCAGAACAAAAGAAAATGGACACAGCTCTGGCTTGCTGGTCGTGTGGTTTACTTACGTGCCATATAGTCATTCTCTGGGGTCAAAAGACACAATTCAACGGTTACACACACTGTAATAACGCCAGTAACAGAATATGTTGGATCTATGGGGAGGAACAGAAGTGCAGATGTGCCAGACTCACCTGGACATACGAACGGTCCACCATGGCACCCGTGAGCACCTGCGACTGTGGACCTGCCGTCTTTTTGTCCTGCAGATTCTGCTCACGGATCTGAGGGAGGTAAAAATCACTGTTAATATGAAACTATAACTACGGAAATATGATAAAAGACAGCAGTTTAATATACAATTTACAAAACATCACCCAGAAATGATAATGTGCTGAAAATGTCCACATCCTCAGGCCGTCCAAGAAGTAGATGAGTTTGTTTCTTCATCAGATTTGGAGAAATGGGTGCCGTCAGAATGAGAGTCCAAACAGCTGATAAAAACATCACAATAATCCACACCACTCCAGTCCATCAGTTAATATATTGTGAAGCCAAAAGCTGCAAGTTTGTAAGAAACAAATCTATCAGTAAGGTATCTTAATTTTGGTTGCTTCCAGCCAAAATACGAGTCTATAATCCATAATAAACTGTTTTGGACTTTCACTAGAGAAAGCTTTAATATTTTGGAGCATTTTGATGTGAGGGGACAATAGGAAATGGCTCCAGTTGTCCTCTCACATGAAAATGGACCAACATATTTGTTTTTAAACTGTTTTGGCTTGTAAACGGTGCTTGATCTGTGCAGATTTCTCTCCTGATTCAGACCAGACCACTTTATCACTAGAGAGAAAGCCATATTTTGGATGGAGGATTTTAGGTATTTTAGCCAGAAGCAACAGTTTGAAGTTAAAAATGTCTTAATGATGGATTTGTTTAAGGTTTTGTCTTCTGAAGATGTTAACTGATGGACTGGAGTGGTGTGGATGACTTGTGGATTATTGTGATGTTTTTATCAGCTGTTTGGACTCTCATTCTGACGGCACCCATTCACTGCAGAGCATCCATTGCTGAGCAAGTGATGCAATGCTACATTTCTCCAAATCTGATGAAAAACCAAAATCATCTACATCCTGGATGACCTGAGGGTGAGGAAGTTGTCAGCAAATTTTAATTTTTGGTTGAAGTATTCCTTTAATACAGTTTTTGCATCATCATCGAAATGTCGTTAATCTAAATGATAGAAAGGTTCAGACCTTGTTGCGCATCTCTTGGACTTCTTTGGGGTTGGTGTTCATAGGGACAAACTGATTGGCCACAGCTGCCTGTCGGAGACTGTCCTCCTTAGTCCACTGAAATTATCAAAGCAAAGCCATTCAAATAAACCAAAACTAAAGAAAATTTGAAATAAATCAAATAAAAAATATTTAACAAAAGATTAATTCATGCCTCTCAAACAATACCAAATAAACACAAATCAGATCTATAACATAACTGGTCAATTATAATGGTCCACTGAGCAACGAACCAATGATGATGTACATTTGAAAATTTGAAACTCCTTGTGCAACATTGTAACGCACAAAAATTCTAAATTCAAAATTTCCAAAGTAATTCATTAGTAAAAATTACCTTAAGATAAACTTAAACTCGTACCAATAAAATATCATATTATACCACTTGGAGTCTGCATTTATTGACATTCACCAGAATAAATCTGATTATAAATATAACTAGCTCTATAAACTTTATTTAACATCAGTGTCATGGGAGCCACGGCCCTCATCATCATTGATACTGCCGTTGGGCATAGAGTAAGGACAGAAAAAGCTAAAAAGAAAAGAAAGAAAAGAGCACAGACAGAGAAAAACAGAAGATTTAAGAGGATGATAGACCACGAGGGAGGCAGGAGTGAGGTGGGGTGGTGAGGAAGAAGCTGTTCTTGTGTTTAGGCAGTGGACCACACACACACACACACACACACACACACACACACACACACACACACACATAGTTCAACATTAATACTGTCCAGGACAAGCACAAAAACCATGTTAGACAAATATGCTAAATACTGCCCTATGTAAGACATTACAGCAATATTTTTGTGTAACGCTGCTTTGAGACATTGTGAAAAGTGTGCATTATAAATACATTTAACTTGACTTTTGGGATTACACAACTAACTGTGATATAATTTGCAACTAAACAACAAACCAGGATAAGTGAAAATGTCAAATGACATTACAGAAAAATATATTAAGGCATCATTTAAATGAATTGATAAATGTTGACTTGTTTAAGAAATTATTTGCTGTAAAGTTGCTTTGAGACAATGAGCATTGTGAAAAGCGCTAGATGAATACATTTAAATTGACTTGTGAGATTACACAACCAAGTGTGACAAGTTATACATAAAGGCGTTTTTTAAATTGAACTGCTACATTTGTACTAATTTAAGACATTATTACTGCAATATTTTTTCTGTAATGATGCTCTGAAAATGTGCATTGTGAAAAGCAATACATAAATATATTTCATGTAACTTATATTACACAACAATTTGCAAACTAAACTAACTCAAACTAAAAATGTTGATTGAAGTTACAAACAAACATATTAAGGCATCATTTTTAAATTAATTGCTAAATGATGACCTATTTAAAACATTATTAAACATTATTCTTAAAAGATTATTCAAAAGTATAAGCAACAGAAAATTATTTGTTGTGCTTGTCTGACAGTCAAGTATCTGGAAAGAATAATGTCAAACCCTGCACACACACTGTAAGAGAGAGAAAAGCACACACACACACACAGACTCTGTAAGGAAGGACAGATTTATGCCCAACTTTTCTTAAAACATACAAGTAAAAGATAAACTTCAGTTTGTGAAGTTTCAGCTTAAGGTTTGGGAGGTTTACTCCAAAAGCTCTGATACACGGAATTAATGGACTGTAAATTTCAAATAAAGATTAACAGCAAGTACTAAATATTTTTGAAGCAAAGATAGTTAGCATTTGGCCTGGGTAAGAATAGCATGAGTAGCCAATGAGTTACTTGCTTTTACCAAAATGAAATAAATGCTTTCAGCACGGAACCAAAAGTCATGAGGAAGGGCTTCCGTATGGGCGCTGGAGAAACGGGGCACATGGGATGAACACATAAACATGAAATACTCACTGATCACGATTAGAGCCCCACAACACAACACGCTCTCCCCCAACTAGAGACAATCGTTCGGAGAGTTAACAACCACTCATGAACCAATGTTTTTTCCTTTTTTTTTTTTGGATGATTTTGAAATTTGAAAGTTAAAATACACTCATGCTCAGGAAGAGTTCAGGAAAAGGTAAGTCCAATTCAGGAGGAGGAAAAGGAAACTCATAAAAATAGAAAAGAGAAATGAAAAAGCCAACACAAATGTTTTTAAGCAGTTTAAGGAAAGAACATGGAGTCATCAAACGGCAAGCCACGACTCCATAAATATAAGCAGCCGAGCGTTTTCTCCCACAGATAGAGCTGCAATTTCTCTGACATTCCTAGGTTGCCTTCAAAGAAATGTATTTTGTTTTTTCCTTAGCAGCCTTTTTAGCTGCAGCCCTACATCTAGGCAAAAACTATCAAAAACATTTCATATTTCACCCTAAAATTGAAAGATTTGCTAGTCTAATTAATTTAATGCCATGTCAGCTATTTTCATGGCAGAAAACATGTTAAAATGCAGCTAAATATAAAAATAATAATAAAATACAAAAGGTTTATAGCAATTATTTAGCAATTAAATTAAAAATTAACCAACTAAATCAGGTCATTAAAAATCTTCATGAGCTAATCAAATAAAAAAAAAAGTCCTATAGGAGTTGAAAGCATAACAAATGTTAATTTGTACTACATTGATCAAAATGCTTTCAAAATAGAAAGAACACAATGCATAATTAATTAAGCCTGTTTTCAGAAACCTTTTTTTTTTCATTATGACATTAATTTCATGGCAATTAAGCAGTGCATTTGCCTAGTTACCAGTAGCGGAAATGCAATAAAATGGGGCTTAACTGTCATGAAAATAATGTCACAAGGCAAATAATTGAGGCAAATAATTTATGCATCTTAATGGTCCTAAAATTAGATTTTATTTTTTCTATGCAAAATACAATTTCATATTTTCTGTAATGATTTTTGGATGAAATACGACCATTTTTTCTGGGATTCTCTCTAATGCTTTCTGATGTTTCTGAAATAAGACATGGAGACAGGCTTTTAGCTAAAGAGCACTTTCTTCTGAAGCAAAGAAGCATCTAAAATCATAAACGTCTTCTACTGTAGTGAAGTATCTCAGCTGTCTTAAACGCTGCGTCTAAGTACACAGGAAGTACATTAGCCACACAAAAAGCCTCTTTTCAAGGCTTCCTGTGATAGTTACTTATTTTAAAAAGCTCTGAAGAAACCGTTCAAATGGAGTAACGTCTCCATTAAAACACAAACGTTTACAAAATGTGCGAAATAAAGCAATAACTGAAATAAGCAACAACAGAAACGGGAGGAAAATCCACAGCAGCAGTAAGGATTAGCCACACCCACTTTGTGCACATGCCACACCCTCCCGGTCCTCCAGGAGAAGATCCACAACGCATCTGATCAATCATGCAACACAGCATGCACTGAGCAGCCGGAAAGAACCCTGACACCCCTTCGACCAATGGTGAGAGAGGGGGAGGAGCTTGCCACTGTGATTGACATACCAACCTGTCTAGAGAGGAATGATAGGAAGCAATGGAGAAATTTTCTTCCCCTCAGATCGGAAAAGACAGTTATGAGTAACAGGTTGGTTAAATGAGTGATCAAGCAATCAAAATCAGTGTGAATCTTAAGGCAAGACACTACGGACACAAAAAAACAAAAAACATTTGCACTGGTCATTATTGAGATTTTGGGGTTATTTGATTTCTCATAACATGCTGTTTCAAACTAGTGGATAGAAATCCAAAACACACTTTTAAGTGTTTATTTTATTGCACCTTATCTATTTGTGTCTGCAGATTTCAATTTCAATACATGTTCCAGGTTTTATAAAGTTTTTTTTTCTTCTGATTTTCACACTGATTTATATAACATTTTATTCCTAAACATGGTGAAAATTTATTTTTTTCTGGCTGTTGGCAGTATTTTCTGAGTTATGGGGTGATAAAAAGAGAAATCGAATTTCACCTTTAACTCAAATAGGTCACAAAATGAAATGAACCTGGAAATGTATGCAAATTAGTGCATATTTCATTAGATGATGTGTTTTAGATATTGCTATATAAACATAACATTTCAGAAAACTTAGAATATATTTATATTTTATTATTTTTTTTGTTTTTAATTTTTTGCAATTCTTAATGTAATCAATCAACTGTAGAAGATTGGTGTCAGTGTTATTTTAGTATCACAGAGATACTATTAAATTATATTAATATATTAAATTAGTTTTAATTTGTATATTTTCTGTTTCCATTTTAATTTGTTTAAATTTTTGCAATTTTGTTGTGTTTTCATTTTTATAGTTTTTTTTTAAATATGCCTATATTTTTTATTAATTTTCATGCAGTTTTATTTTTAGTTATGAAAATGAGATATGTCGCCTTTGCAACTAACAAGGCTTTTCATATATTATTATTACAGTTTAATTTATTTCAAGCAATTTTTTGTTTTTAGTTTTAGCTAATTATAATAACTCTGTATGCTGGTAACTATTAGTTTTTTTTTTTTACCCTATTCACCTGGGGTGTTTTGCCTTAAGAAGTCAGAGGAAGAAAAAAAAGCAATATTTGCAAGAGGAAATGACTCTACAGTTATAAAACGGCAAACACACCCAAAGCCACTTGGGTGAGTGTGTTTTTTGCCCTGGTGTCGGGGTGCTATCCAGCTGCCCTCTCTAGCTCTGTAGCAGTACGTTTCTAAACTATGAACAATAAGGTTGGCACAGACCAAGCAGTTGGTAATACAGCTTGGCACGCAGACACCGGACGAGAGAGACTGCAGCAAGGGTTTGACGTGATCGTGTGTTATGTTCGTCCACACCTTAGTCTTCGCCTTGGGGCTACCGCTGCCATCCTGCCCCTCTTCTGCCGATTCGTCGGGCCGCCCGGCGGCTAGCCAGCGGGTCTTGTCCCGCTGCTGCCGCTGAAAGCTGTGCTTTAACGGGGAGCGTGCACCCGAGTCACTGTCCTCTGCATATGAGTAGCCCGTGGCTGACGGGGGAATCTCAACGTCACTGTACTTTTTAGCTTTATCACGCAGCGCCGGGCAACGGTACGGATAACCAGTCCTGTAGCCCTGTGAAAAGAGATACCCAGTCATATGTTGGGTCAAAAAAGACGCAATAAAGAAGAGTTTGGTCCCTAGCCTACCAGATTATCCAGCATCCTCATCAAAGCCTCAAACTCCTGCTCCCCGATCTGCCACTTCGGGTGCGAGCTCGACCCGTCTCCAACCGGCTCGAGGTGGCGTGGCCGGGATTTATACTTGCTTGGGTCCAACATAACCAGGTTGTCAGGACCCCCTGCACTGGCGAGGGTGCGCACCTGCAATTTCAGACCGGAGAGCATACTGTTAATGATCAAAACTTGTTACACACACACAATCTACTCCATGCCTTCTGTCATCTAATTGATAGTTTTGACTTTTTTAGCAAGTAAATATGATTGTACAAACATTCCCCTTCTGCTTGTGATTAAAGGGGTCATATGATGCTATTTCAATTTTTCCTTTCTCTTTGGAGTGTTGATTGGTTTTACATTTATGTAAAGACCACTATGAAGAGCACTGAATTGTATTATTATCTAGGTAGTTATTTATTTGTTTATTATTTATTTATTTGTATTATTCCTACAATGAAAATGTCAGTTTGTAAATGTGTACAATATTGTAAAGTTTATCTTGTATTTTATTTTGTTTTAACTCTTTTTAAATTGTTTATTCTTATTATTGTTTTTGTAATTTTATTTTAGTTTGTTTGTTTGTTTAATTATTTTGGCGGTAAGGGTCATCATGGGGGAAAAGATATAACCTTAATTGTATAAAGTGTTCTGTTAAAGCTTGGAAAAAATTCATATAAAAATATTGTTAGTAATATCTCCGGATGAACACTGGACTGAAGCAGTTCGGCTTTACTTTGATTCTCCATCAATCATTTTTTTTAGAAAAATCAGTGCGTCTCAAATCTGATCATCAGGATCTTTTGAGGAGCGTTTGTTTCCAGAAGCTTTACTTTCACTGTTCCTCAGCGGAGGAATGATCTTCACAAGCCTCCAGAACATCTCACATCTTCTGAGGAGCATTTATTTCTTCATCTCTCAATCAGCATTCTACTGCATAGCATGTAATAGAGCGACAACTGGTATTTTTCATTTTATCTAAGTATCTGCTATACTGTTATAAAGATCTTTCATACTCATTTTTCCTCCATATTCTCACTTTATCAGACTATATGAGCCATAAAAGCCTGATGGATCAAATATGATACTCAACAAAAAACACTTAAGCAACTTTTTTTTTTTTTTTTTTAGATTTTTTAACAGGTTCAAAATAAACTGTTGCATTTAAAGAAAATCCATTTTCAAAAAATAGATTTTTCTGACTATTATTTCATATTTCAGGCCTTACAGGAGGTTTAAACCCATTCATTTCACAAATTAAAAGTTCTCAATTTTAAAAGCAAATTAAACGTTTTATAGGTGTAGATGGTTACCTGAATCTCACAGGCTGTGACCAGGTTGTGAATGTAATAAAATGCCTCTTCAACTGTTTCTCCAACAGTCACCAGACCGTGATTCCTCAAAATCAACACCTGAACATACAAACAATTATTGATTTAATTATTTAAAACCATATCAAGAAGAAATGTTACATTAATGGCAAACTCAAGAGTAATACAATTTAAAATAATCATAACAATGAATTACATACAAAAAGTTATATTAAAAAAGGTTTTTTTTTTTATTGATATATGATAGGAAATCTAACATTTTTCAAGAAAGGTTTTAAAAATGTTCATTAATGAAGTTCCTAATAAAACTGTTGCCTAATTTTATGGTCATTCCTATAAAATATACTGTACAGTCAAGCCTATAGTGAAGCCTTATAAAAACCACATACAGGCAATTCTCCATCTTTCAATTATTATAAAATATGAGTCTTGTGCGACCAATTCAAGATCTTGTATATACAGTCATTTCTATTTTCACAATGTTTAGACCTTTTATTTATAACTAGATTTGTACAATTCGTTTTGGACAACATTCATTCTACTCATCACTTTCTGGAAATGCATAAGGTGCGTGTGATTTTAACATCAGATGATGGTTTTTCACAAACAATGATTTCAGTGCACAGATTTATACAACATAAAACCGGATAAGCCTGAAGCTAGAAGTTCAACATAAAGTGCTATAGTCCTTTAATCTGTGTGTATATGGTACCTTGCTCTTGGGACCCAGGTTCTTCTGTATGAGGATGTTCTCCTCCTCATCCACCAGGATACCGTGGTAATCGTGGTACGCCACCTCGCCCAGCGACAGAGCCTCGGGTGAAATGGGCAGCAGACCACACTTCATGGCAGACACCTGGAGGCAAATCATTCAAATGCTTAATATGTATAAAACAGACCAAATTAAAATAAACATACCATGGAATATATTTATCATGAAATGTTTTAATGAAATAAATACATTTTGCACTATTTATTTCTGCTCCCATTTCATAGTAATCTTTTTTCATTTCATAATTTCATATATTTCTTATTTTAATTTTGGTCGTTGTTATATTTTGAGGTGCATTTTGTGTCTCATTTCATTTTAACAAACTTAAATTAATTCATGTCTAAAAATACCATGAAATGCGAGCATAAATAGTGCAAAATATTGAAATTATACTATATTTTTATTTAATTTCATTGTATTTCACATAATGTTTCATAATTTAATTTTGTCCACTATTACATTTTCAGTTGCATTTCAGGTTTCATTTCATTTTACTGAACCTAAATTAAGAAATTTATGAATGCACTATTTATTAATGCTCTTATTTCATTGTATTTTTATTCATGGATTTTATTAATTTAAGTGTATTAAACTGAAATGAGACATGAAATGCACCTCAAAATACAACAGTAGACAAACTTAAATTATGAAATATTACATAAAATGTTGCAATCTGTATATGACAATGGATGAAATGTGAACACAAATAAACATGTAGCACCATATTTCTTTTCTTTTTAATCAGTTAACATTTTGCACTATTTATTCATGCTCTCATTTCACTGTATTTCTTTCTTGCAACAATCCATATAATACTTCATGATTTAATTTTATCCACTTTTATATGTTGAGGTGCACTTCATGTCTAATTTTAATAAACTTAAATGAAAAAATACATTTTGCACTATTTATGCACTAATTTCACTGCAGTTTTATTCATAAATCTATTCATTTATGTTAAAATTCACTAAATTGAAATGAGACTCAAAATATAGACATGTGAACATTATTTTTAATTGGTCACAAATAAATACATTTTGCACTGTATCTCTTTTACTTTTATATGAATTAATTGGAAAGGTTTAATGTGAGATGAGTTTCCAGCTCATACCGCGGCGCCAGCGGGCGTGTGAATGTGCACTATGCACTTGATGTCCGGTCGGGCAGCGTAGATGGCGGAGTGAAGGGTGAATCCAGCCTGATTTACACCTAGATTAGTGCTGCCTCTGTCTACGATCTCCCCCTGCAGGTTAATCTTGACCTGAAGACACAGACAACACTGCTAAATACAAATATTTACCTCCAAGAAGTAGTACACTGCATTATATTACACTAAATGATAATATCTTTCAGCATTTATAGGCTGACGTCAGTCACGTTCTCAGATGGCCAAGAAAAACAAAGAAATGGTTACCAAACTGGAGGCAGTGACTTCACTGTACAGAAGCCCGAAAGGGACAATCAGAAAACGCTCCTGTTCAGAGTTCAGCCGGACCTGAGGAGAGAGAGGAAGACAGGTTTGACTGAAAATCCCACATATAACATGTCCTGCGGAGTTGTGTTGTATATGTTGGTGACTAACTCACCGTCAGGTGGTTGTAGATGAGCTGAGACCAGCCAAAAAGGTCGGCCAGGCGGTAAAACGCAGCAAGTTTACAGCGCAAGAGCTTCTCTCCTTTCTCATAAGCGATGGAGTCTGAACCTCTCAGATCATTCACTGGAGTCACCATCCCCAAACCTAAGCACACACACAAACGTCCATTAGGGCTGTTCTGCCATTTCTACATAAAATATATATATATACTTTATACTTTACAACAGGGTTATTATCATGAATTAAAACTAAAACCCTAAATATTTTAGGTACTTAAATGTTAAAGGAAAAAAAGTTAAAGTACTGAAATAACTTAAAATTAAAACTATACAGATAGATAAAAAAAAAAAAAAAGACAAACAACAAAAATACTAAAATTTTAAGATTAAAATAAAAAACAAATTAAAAATATTACATCTATTAGAGCTGTTTTGCCATTTATTAAAGATTAAAAAAGTATATTAAAAAATAAAACTTTTTATTTTAGTTGCCAATTCAACATTTCTAATTTTTATTTAGTTTACCTTTAAGTACTAAAATAAACAAAACTAAATAGGTAAATAAAAACCATATACTTAACATGTCTATTTTTTTCAGTTGTATATTTAAATAACATATTTGGGGATAGAAAAAAAAACACAAAACTAATAAAAATGAAAAATAAATTACTACAACTAAATAAAATGAAAATGGAAAATATAAAAAAAGAAAAACTAATTCAAAATAATAAAAACTATAATAGCATATTAATAATGCTAAAAAAAATTGACAAAAACAAAATTACTAAAACTTTTAACTGAAACTAAAATTACAATATATAACAAATATATATATATATTTATACAACAGTTCGTTCTGGTTCTCAAATCTGATTGGTTGAGAACCGTGAGATATTGTACTGGTATCGCTACAGGAACGCCCTTTCACAATTTTGTATCACTTGTTCTAGCCGGGTCTATGTTTTTTTTTTTATTATTCTCTGACTTACAAAAGTGATTTTATGTCCATAGAAAGCACATTAAATTTAAGTGTCTACTTTCAAGGTTTCAAATAAGTTTTTGGAGGATAAAATGTCAAAATTTGGTTGAAATAATGTTACATTGTCATTCAGTGTAACACAATATTTATGTAAAAATTCAAACAACATGCTTATTCTGACGTGTACATATTAAAATATATAAAAGAATAAGAGAGCATATTAAATTTTATTGTGTTTTAAATGAGTAAAAAATTCTTACTGACAACTGGCCAAAACCTAGGATAGTGGCAAATTTTAAAAATGTAAAATTACAACTAATTAGTATTTGGGGTGAAAGTAATTAGTCTTTTAATGTCATAAATTGATTTTTGTTGTAAATATGCCTGACAAGAATGTTACACTGAATGACATTTTAGTGGGTCTCTTCTGTAAATCAGGGGAAAATGTATGATATTTATTTTTTGCTCAGAAAAACAAAAACAAAATTGCAATTAAATTAAACAGAAAAGTTTTTAATTGGGGGGGGAGAACAACAACAATTTAAGCAGTATTACACTTTTTCGTCTTTGACCCATAAAAAAAAATCTAAATAAAAAACTACATCTTAATATAATTTTTAGTATATTAGTGATACTAAAGTAACACTGCTTGAGAGACACAGTAACGCAGGACAGTCCCACACTCACTCATGTTGAGGGCTGCCATTCCTCCCTGAGGGCCGGCGGGGTACACGGTGGGGACGCTGGTGGTCATGAAGTCAGCGATCTGCTGCAGCGCAAGTAAACTGGTGGGGTTTTTCCCCTTCTTCATCTGATCCTGGATCAGAGACTCCAGCTCATCACAGAACGCCTGAAACACAGAACACACAATTACAACCAGAACTATACAGTTGCTAGGGCGTTGTTAACAAATCAACAGAGTCACATTCTAGATGTGACTAAACATGACTCATAATTGGAGGAAACATCTGTGTCTGTGGCATACACTTTGTAAAATTCAATAAGACTGCTTAGTGTTTTGTTACTTATATCCTTACTACTGCAATAGCATGACTAATTACTTTAGATTAGGACTATTAAGACCACTAGCTGGACAAATACAGCTCTCTACCCTGTAACAGCTCTTAAGTCGATACTAAAGTGCAACTAATGTTACAGCAACATGCTGAACACACAATAAACCCCTCACTGGAGAAAGACAGAGAGATAATGACACAGGCTGGCACCGTCAAGCGCCGTTAAAAATTTATGAATGTATGTTAACAAGAACATGAAACGCTTTCTACAGGCCGGCATCTGGAGTCTGAACGCAACCCACATATCAGTGACTTATTCATCATGTGGCTCATACAGTATATAAAAATCCACTTTAAATGCTGTATCAATTCTTGGGTCTCAAACTGTGGTACCAGGAATCTCAAAACTTGAAATACAGGTACAAAAAAAATTTATATGTCTATAAATAAAATACTGAAAATTATATTTTTATCATCCTGCATGATAAACCTAAATAAATAATAAATATAAATATTTTAAAATGTACTTTTTACTATTTAAATTTACTTTATACCATTTACTATTTTTATATTTAAATTTTATTTGAGCAATAAAAAAACTAAACAATATTCTCATTTAATTGATTTAAATACTATTTATCGGGAGAAGTTTTAAAATGTACTTTAACTTGCACTCAAAGAGATTTGCTCAATTCTGAAAATTATTAGAGGGAACTTTGAAGGTGGTACTTGATTGAAGATGGTATTTGGCCTGAAAAGTATGAGAATTGCTGGTTTCTCTCATTCCTTCAAGCACTGAGTACAAGAAGAGTAAAGAAGGGGTGAATATCAGCTGCCTTTCCGTGTCTCCCTCGATTCCTGCCCAGATAAAGATGTCTTTATTCTGTCTGTGACTGTCCGCTTGCATAAACAGAATCCCTTCTGTACTTACACACATATGCAGACAGACATATGATCACTGGGCATATTGAGACGTCAGTCACGAGGGGGATTACTGAGAGCTCAATGAACTGTCATCAACAAACACAGATTTACAATCCAGAGACTGTGTTTCAGTCAGAAGATGTGCATTATTACAAAACAAAAGTCTATTAATGACTTTTAATAAACAAAATAAATGGATTTTTCACAATATGAAATCAAAAATTACTATTTACTTTCTTAATACGGTTGGTATTATTTGTAATTAATCAGTGCACATTATTCTGAAGAAAAAATGTTTGTATTTATAAACTTTCATCAAAATATAATAACTGTCCATCTTTCTGCTGATGTAATCAAGGTTACGTAAGTGCTAAAAAATATAAAATTAACCAATAATATCATAGTTTCAAGAACAAATCAATCCATATTCTTATACATTACCATTCAACATTTGGGATAACTAAGATTTGCTAATGTTCACGAAAGAAGTCTCTTCTGCTCACCAAGGCTGCATTAAGATCAAAAATCAAAAATACAGTAAAACAGTGAATTATTATTAATCTTTAATATTAATATTTTCTATGTGAATATCTGTTCAAATGTCATTTATTCCTGTGATCAAAGCTGAATTTTCAGCATCATTACTCCAGTCTTCAGTGTCACATGATCCTTCAGAAATCATTCTAATATGCTGATTTGCTGTTCAAGACACATTTCTGATTATTATCAATGTTGAAAACAGTTGAAACAGATTCACAGATGAATAGAAAGTTCAAAAGAACAGCATTTATTTAAAATGGAAATCTTTTGTAACATTATAAATGTCTTTACTGTCACTTTTGATCAACTTAACGCGTCCTTGCTGGAAAAAAAAAAGTGTTATTTCCTTCTTTTTTTAAACCTTCTGCAAAAATATGAAGCAGCACAACTGTTTTCAACAATGATAATAATAAGAAATGTTTCTTGATATCCGAATGATTTCTGAAGGATCATGTGACACTGAAGACTGGAGTAATGATGCTGAAAATTTGACTTATTTTAAACTGTAAAATTTGTTCACAATTTTACTGTATCTTTGCTCAAATAAATGCAGAATGCTGTAGATAAGAGACATCTTTCAAAATCATTTAAAAAATCTTTATTATTTCATGTGTTATCAGAATATTTATCTAAATGTGTGTGTTGCGCTCTCACTGGACTCTGCAGGATCATGGAGACTCTCTTGCGCTGCTCCATCATGTTGAAGTCCTGCCGCAGATCCGGCGCCATGTTCCTCTCTCTCTGGTACTCCGGGCTGCTCTCGTCCACACGGTCGAAATAACGCTCCTTATGAGGGGGATTGGTGGGTGGGGGGGCCGTCACCACCCCTGCACCTGAGTCTCCGTTCATCACACACCTGCAAAACAGGTCAAAGCTCAGGGGGAATTTGCCTACTTCAACTACACACTAAAATACATTAGGGATGCATGATATATTGGCCGCCATATCGGTATCGGCCGATAAATGTAAATTTTTCTGTTATCGTTATTGAACCGATTAGAACATTTGCCCGATATATTAGATATTAGATTTATCAGCCAACATACTGGTTATCGGCTTTCATATATTAAGAGAATTATCGGTATCGGCCAAAATTTTCATATCGGTGCATCCCTAAAATACATACTTGTGATCGACAGAATATGCTTTAGATTTACTTTAAGCAAAATGTATATTTTGTCCCCATTTGATTTTGAATTGAAATACGATCCAAACATGAGATTCACCCACTAAGAGCCATTTTAAAACTGTTAAAAAGGGCATGAGAGACAGAATGCTGCACAGCGGGGTTATAACGGGCCGTTTACTGTTGAGTGCTCTGGACGTAATGCGCTTTCTCCGTCCATTTAGTCAAGACAAACATGACGTTCAGGAGAGAACAGAGGATATTGTGCTTCACTGCAACCAAAACAGATACTGCTGTTGCCATAGCAACTGGACCATCATTACCAGCCACACAGATGCAGCGATTAGAGTAATGAAACTAGTTAAGCTCTATGTAATGCATCTGTGGTGCTGTTAAATATCACAAAAAATATTTTTTTTGTGGCAAAAAGGCTATAAATAGTCTATGGAAGCTTGCTTCCAACACACAAAAAAATTTAAGAGGTAATTACGACTTTTGTTTCCGGTATGTAATAATAAAAAAAAAAAAGGTAATTGACTTTTCTTTTCACAATTCTAAATACTTTCAAATACTTTTTTCATATTTTTCATAAGTTCATATCATAAGTTCATATTTTACAATTCTTGCAGGGTAACATCTCCCAATTCTGAGGCTATAAAAGTTTTTATTGCAATTTTCTGAAATCTTGCAATTTTGAGATTTACAAGAAAAAACATCTTAATTGTGAGATTTAAAAAAAAAATCAAATAAACGCCAGATTTGAATTTGAAGTGTTTATTTGTAGGACAGCACAGTTTGGCCATAAATTTGGTAAATATACATCAAAACGACTCTAAAATATTACACACTAAAATCGGCCACCATATCGGTATCGGCCGATAAATGTAAATTTTTCTGTTTTTTTTATAAATTTTAATTTATTAATAAATTAGTAACAGTTTTAAAATAACAATTTTAATTAATATTATTTATTCAGTTTTTTTAAATATTAAACAGTGAAATATTGCACTTGTAATATTCCACCATAAAATAGTAATAAAAAGAGTATTTTACACAAAAGATATTATAATAATACTCGACTTTAAAGAGCTCAAGCACTTAAAATGGTAAATGACAAAACTGCAGCTCATGATTAGAATAAACAAAACATTACCATTATGTTTAAATGCATAATATAATAAAAATGCACCTCATAAAATTGTATTATTCATAAATATTATTTATTGACTTTTATTTTGTCTGTGAGCACATACAGGAGACTCTCCATTTCCTAAAGGTGAGCTTATACATTTTCTAGCACTTCTAGACCATTGGGAGAAGTTTTATGTAGTTATTTATTTATTATATAAAAATATTAAACAATAACAAACAATGATATTATAATATTTCACTGTAAAACATTTAAAACAAATAATATAATAATAATAATAATAATGGTTTTAAAAAGCTCAAGCATTCAAAAAGTGAACGTGAAATGTGAACGTGCCTTTAGTGACTGTACATATGCTCTAGAGCAGTGGTCACCAACCTTTTTAGGCCCAAGATCCCTGACCTCGGCCTTTATGGAAGACAAGATCTACCTATTGAAGAATTGATAGAAAAAGACATCCCAGATTGTGCTTCAAATTTGAGGCCTTTAATTTAGTATTTTAATCTAAGCCTAATCTAAGTCATAGCTGATTCAGAATTCAGATTTTCTTTTCTTTCTTTTTTGCAGGGGCTAAATATCACGTTATTGGGGTCGCTTCAACCCGCGGACATGAACAACAACCCTCGGCAACGGTGTTAAAGTAGCCCAATTCAGCGGGAAAACCGCGGACTTGGCAACACTGCTTATGAACCGACCGCAATATAGCGTTTCATTGTTTCCCGCTGTAAACAAAGCAGAGCTGCGCTTTATACGGAGGAGAAGAAAATGCCATTGCCATCGAAACTTTTCTCAAGACAGTTCCCTTCAGTGATACATTAATATAACCCCAGAAATGTAATGCATTTTTGTACTTATTTTACTGTTATTTTCGGGATCTACTGGGACAGTGATAAAGATCTACCAGTCGATCGCGATCGACGGGTTGGCGACCACTGCTCTAGAGTATTTGCAGCAGAATCAATGACACTGTAGGGCAAAGAGAGAGCAGGAAGGGAGTCAGTCTGTCTGACTCAGCAGTATTGATCGTTTAAGTGGTTTGTTGCTGATTGTAAGCTGATGTTTCAAAGCCACATGAACACGGACCCGCTGCTACAGAACATTTACATTATCTCAAAGCAAAGCAGAACCTACAACACAATCAACCCAGCACAACACAGTTTTATAGCATGAAGTCGACACACAAAGGCGTCTCATTTCAGCCCCGAACAGAGCCAGAGCAGGAAATAACTGCAGCATTGAGTAATGAAACCCTGGAGCTCCAGACAGCTGCTCTGCTCTCAATCTACAGACACACCACGAGTTCTCAACACCACAACGAGGAGATTCATTCTTCCTCTAGAAACAAATCACTTCAGCTCAGAGCCTCATGAGTGAGACTAATCAGTACAGAATCAATATTGGCAGTTGATTAAGCACTACTGACAACATGCATTCTGACAAAGACAACTGAATGCACTGATTATAGACTTTTCAAAAAGTTAAATATGTTGGGCTTTTTACCTTTATTACAAATAGAACTACTTTAAAAGCACACAGGAAGTGATACAATATCACTTATATATTGTTGCTCTTTTCTTAGTTTTGACTGCTTTTACTGTCCTCATTTGAAAGTCGCTTTGGATAAAAGCGTCTGCTAAATGACTAAATAAATAAATAAATAAATAAAATTAAGAAAGGGTGTGGGTAGGGCTGTAAGATTTGGGGGAAAAATTAACTGATTTTTCTGATAAGATAAGTGATTTAATTTTTTTTTTTTTCAGTTTTTTCTGTCATTCTGTTACACTGTGGAAGCTTCTGTCACGAAAACAAATTCCTCGTATGTGTAAACATACCTGGCAATAAAGCTCATTCTGATTCTGATTTTAAAATGTTTTTTTAATAAAAACTGCAGGTTTGCTGTGCTTGTTTGTAGGGCTGCACAATCTGGAAAAATATTTTGTGATTATACTGCAACACTAAGGCTGCTCAATTTGGGAAATGGGCAAAAATAAAAACTGATAAAAACTGTGACTGTGATTTTAAATGTAATAAAAAAAAAGAAACTTCAGGTTTGCTATACGCTTGTTTGTAGAGCTGCATAATTTGGCTAAAAAAATTTAAATAAAATTGAAATAATAATTGGCGACATATATGTCAACAACTTTAACAACAACATCAACAGCAATAACTTATAAATAATTATTATTTATATTATTTTCATTAAATACACAATTTTTATAGATAAATATTACAATAGAAACATTTCTTATTTTGTTTAATATGTATGATCACTATTATTATTTATAATAATAATAATTCTTATTATAATTTTTATTTGTATTATTATTGTTATTAAACAAATATGAAGTCTAAAAATGGGTTTAAGTATATAATATAATACAATACAATAATAATAATAATAATAGTAATAATAATAATAATGCAGTACAACTGTATAATAAAATAATTATATTTTTCTTAAATGCCTGATTTTTTAATAATATTACAATAGTAACAATATTTTATTTATAAAAAATAATAACATTTTATTTACCAGTACAACTACAACAACAGTACAGTTACAGCTACAGTAAAATTACAACAGTAATATTTATGGCTGTCTAATTTTTTCCTTTTTCAAACATTAAAAACTACTAATTTTTATTTCTGCAAAAAAAAAAAAAAAATTTTTATTTCTAAAAAAAAAAAAAAAAAAAAACTGTTTTGTTGACAACACTCAGTTTACAGATGTTTCTCACTAGAGGTTTGGGAAGATGGTTGCCGCATGTTTTATTATAAGTGACCCAAACTCACAGTACATTCAGCATTTACTGCAAACCTCAACTCAAACGTGAAACTCAAAGGTCATTTAGAAAACTAATCGTGTGTGAATAGTGCTCAAGACACCACAGCATCTGTCTCTCTCTCTCTCTCTCTCTCTCTCTCGTGATCTCCAGAGTTTCCTCCCACTCTCTTTCAGGACGTGAATTACAGTGCAGAAGTGCAGCCCTTCTGTCTTCATCTCCTTGGTAACTGAGACACTGAAAGATGCTTCGGCTTCCACTGCGATCATATAAAGGCCTCGGACGAGTTCAGGCACAGAAGCCTCTTCATGCATCATTCTGAATAAACACTGGGATTTGAGCACAAATAAAAGTCCTCAGAGAATAAAGAGGAGAAAAAAATTCTGTCTGCATTCTGCCTGTTACTTCCTGTTGAAACAGGAAATACAATGATACCCCTCCCAGAGAACAGACAATGATTGGAAACCCCTCCTGTCTCTGTTCGAACCAAAATAATCTCATTATCTTGGTCTTCTGATAACCTGCTGTGACTATCACCACCAAACGTTCCATGAAAATCCAACCACTTTGGTCCAGTTTTTCCTGCCAGCTGGAACACTTAGTGCAGCTATTGGGTTTTCCGTTGTGTTTTTGATTGATTTTAGCATTAGATTCAGACAAACGCAGTGACCCTTTAGGACTGAACAAAGCTTTTATCCCTAAATGACCCAGAGTACAATCAGAATCAATCCAGTCACAATAACTGTCATATGCAGTAGGGCTGAACGATTTTGGAAAAGAATCTAATTGCGATTTTT